CCCTTGAAGAGGTTACTTTCTCATGAGGAAGACAGTCAATCAACAATATGAACTAAGTGCATGTATAGTGTGTTAGAAGGTAATTCTGTGCTGTATGGAAGAAAGAAAGATCAGGGTGCAGGATGCAGTACTGAAAAGGTGACATTTGAACAAAGGAGGGAATTTAAGGGTTTAGCCAAGCAGTTATTTGGGGAACAGCCCCTGAGGCAGAGAAAAATAAAGAACCGTAAGATGGAAATGTGCTTACCATGGTCTGGTGAACAGCAATGAGGCCAGTGTGGCTGGAGAAGAGGGAGCAAAGTGGGGATTGGCAGGCAGTGAGGACAGAAAAGCAAAGACAGGGTTTTTACGCTCAATGAAGCCAGAAAGCAATGGAGGGTTCAGAACAAAAGAGTTACATGATCTGGTTTATATTAAAAGATGACTTTGGCTGCTATTTGGACAAGAAGTTGTAGAAGCAAAGGCAGAAGCAGAGAGTCAGATAAGAAGCTATTGCAGGAATCCAGGTATGAGATTATAGCAGCCTAGGATTGGTTATACTTGGAGGGGAAGCCAGCAGGATTTCTTGTTGGATTTGACGTTGAGTGAGAAAGGACCTGAGGATGACTCCAAGGTTTTTAACCTGAATAACTAGAAAGAAAGCACTGCTCTAAAAGTTTTCCCTGTTTTAACTCATCTATAGCCCACAAAAACTAGATGAAGAAGTATTGTTTCCATTTTCAGTTGGCACACTAAGAGACAGAGAAGCTGTCCAGGTTACACAGCTAGTAAGAAAAACAGTCAGGGTTTGACCAGGCAGGCTGGTTCCAGAGCCTGTGCCATGCTTCCTCCCCATGACAGCATCTAGTAGGATGAAAGGCTTTTATACTGAGATAATATAAAAATATTACAATCTAGGCAAATATTATTATAATATTATAATCTAGGCAAAATTCAGTTCTGAGCAAGGAGGGTTGCCACAAGAATAAAAAGAAAGGCATAAATTCATGTATGAGATAACCCAAAATAGGCAGAAGCCACACTGAGCAGAATCTGTGCAAGTGTTAAGACAGAAGGCCAGGCAAGATAGCTCCTGTCCATAATCTCAGTGCACTGGGAGGCTGCAGTGGGAGAACGATTTGACGCTAAGAGTTCAAGACTAGTCTGGGCTACTTAACAAAACCTCATCTCTACAAAAGATTTAAGAGAATTATCCAGGCATGTTGCTACTCAGGAAGCTGAGGAAGGAAGATTACTTGAGCCCAGCTGTGTGAGGCTACTGTGAGCTATGAAGGTGCCAATATGCTTCAGCTGGGGGCAACAGAGCAAGACTGTATCTTAGAAAGAAAAAAAGAAGACAACAGCTCTGAGTTTACATCATCACATTCAAATACTCAGATGCCTACGTTGTAAGGACTATATACAGAGTGTCCTTTTGTGTGGCCTGGGCACTTAGAGATACTACCTCATACCAAGCTTTCTCCCTTTAGTAACCAGAGTGTATCCCAAACTAATTGAATCCTTTAGGTCCTAGAATACAAACAAGGTGCAGCAATGTTTTAATAATGCTGTAGTTTGAACACAGGCAAAAATGTTCACATTGGATAGGAAGAGTGTTACAGTTTGTAACTTTGTTGGGTTATACGTACATGTACAGCCTGACCTGATACTGGCTGTCAATAAAAGGTAGGAACATGTCCAGTCAGCTCCTAAGAGCCCTTTGGCCTTCTCTCTGGGGCAGCCTGGTATAAAAGACATGTTGTATGGCCTGTTACATTGTGGTTGTATCTGCTAGAAACATCTAGAGAAATTTCTATCCCCACCCCCTCCCCAATCAGCATGTAGCTTATGCTGCCTGAAGCAAGAGAACCGTAATCCTTGGTCTCATTTAATCTAGGGACCCATCTTCAATTCCACACTCAAATCTGAGTCTATTTCTCTGTGCAAAGGGCCAGTTTCTTGGTGAAAAAATAAAACAAAACAGCACTTACTTTCATCTGTAGAATTAGTCACCACAAACCAGAACTGTACAAATTAAAGATAGGGTTTAATTCTTCTAAAGAGAAAAATAAGTATTCTTATCTATTTTAGGTAGTACTTTGTATGGCAGTCTGTATTTTTCAAGTACAACATTTCTCCCATCCTACATGTTCTTATGAGGTAGCTTTTACATTCCTCCCACTGAAGGACATGGTCTGTGTCCTCTCCCCTTGAAAATGGGTGGGCTTTTTTACATGGTAAGTGATATTCCTTGACTTCTATGACTAGGTATAAAAGGCAATACAGCTTCCATTTTGTTCACTGGAATGCTTACTCCTGAAGCCTTCAGTCTGACTCCCCTGAGACTGTCATGCCGTGAGAAAGCTCAAAGTAGCCCAAGGGGAAAGACCACATGAAGAGGACTTGAGACTACATGGAGATCTCCAGGTATCCCCCACTGCCTCAACCTTCTGGTTCCTTGTTAAGTCACAGTCTGACTGCAACTGCACCAGGGATCTCAAACAAGAACGACTCTGCTTCTCAAATCACTGATCCTTCAAAGTGGTGAGAAATGTAGCTCTGATGTAGCTTTAAGTCATCAAATTTAGGGGTGATTTATTAGTCAATAATAGATAAACTATAACAGCTTGAGAAACAATGCTATTTACATAAAGATAACAAAGGCTACACAAATAGTATACTGATAGAAAAATATAAGCTAAATATGTACACTGAATACATACAATATGTAGACTATATTAAAAATTATAAATCAATCATTTTGAATGAATCTATTTTATATAATACATTATATATATGTGTATATTTATTCATCCAAAAATATCATTTAATAATTTGCTGATGCCAGACAAAGTGATGGACCTAAATAAGTATGTTCAATCACTTTTCCATTTAGACACTTGAAGAATTATATGTACTCCTGTGCAAAATAGTGGCCCATCATGGTAGTGGATTCTCAGTGGGTGAGGTTACATCAGGTGCTTACCCAAACTTCATTTCTTCCTTTCTTTCTAGTAGAATCTAATTTTCTTGGAGATGACAATATGCTCATCTAGAAAATTATAGTTCACAGCTTTCCTTGCAGCTAGAGATAGCCATGAGGCAGTTTTGACCATTGAGATATAAGTGGAAGTTGCGTGGGACTCCTGGAAAGTCCTTTGGAAGGAAACAGATCTAGACTCTATTGTATTTGGTACCCAAGGAAGCATACAAAGACATCTTCTTCCCTTGCAGTATATGGTATATGTGGATTTTTTTCTGTATCCTTGCCCCTCCCCAGAGTACTTAGCAACATGGCATGATGCTTTGGAATGACAGACAGTAACTACAGTCTGTTATACCCAATTGCTTCCTACAAGAATGAAGTACTGGAAAGTGCTGGTGACAGAGAGCTTTGAGCTCCATGTAAGGGATTCTCTTCCAGAAGCTCTCATACCCAGACTGATCATGTTACTCCTCCATCAAACATCTTCATGGGTCCTGATGAACATTATATTGCTTTATCAAAGCTAACTACTTAACATTAGGAAAATAATATTGCAAATCTGTAATATACTTTTCACTTGTCAATAGGTATGCTGATTTTGTTTTTATTAACATTTTTATGTAGGCCTGTCTTTTTAAACTGTACCGTAAACTTTTTAAGCGTATGGACCACATCCAGTACATTTTAAAGTTTTTCATGACATTTAGATGCAGTGAAAACCCTAAATACTGACTACCAGTGAAAATATGTCAATTCTATCATTTTGATTTCTAACTTAAATAACATCTATATAGAACATTATAGTACACATTGCTTTTTAAAAACTGGACAATTTCAAACATACACAAAAGCAGACAGAAGAGTATAATAAACTCCTATGAAGTGAACCCATTACCCAACTCTAACAATTATCTACACCTCCTTTTCTTTTTACTAGAGTATATTAAAGTGAAATCAGACAACCAATCATTTTACATATACATACTTCAGTATATATGTCTCACACATATAAGGACTTTAAAATATATCCATCTGCAATACAGTAATATCTAATATTAATAACTTCCATCTTTTAAAATTTAGTTCACGTTCAGTTATATCTAACTGTTCTAAGAATGTCCTTTTATGATGGTTTGTTCAAATCAGGATTCAAATGACATTTGGTTAGTATATCTTAAGTCTTTTTATCCACAGAAGTTACCTTCTCTGGTTTCCTTTTTTAAATGTCATTTATTTATTGAAGTAACCAGGTCATTTGCTCTATGGAATTTCCTACTTTCTGGACTTGGCTGATTGTATCCTCTTGGTGTCTTTTAACTCTTCCTCTATATACTGTATTTCCTGTAACTAGTAGTTTAGATATAGATGATTGATTAGATTTAAGTTCAAATTGTTTTTTGCCATGAATACCTCATAATATTACAGTGTATTAAGAGACAAAACATCTGCTTGTCTTACTTTGAATGACATTAAGATTGATCAGTGAGTTTGGGTTGTATCAGCATAAGCCGTCCCCATCAACCTTTCTTCTGTTTCCATCCCTACTGGCTCTAATAAATGGGGCACTGTTTTTTTTCACAGTTTTAGCAAACCTTCTCATTTTAGCAAACAGTGATCATTAGCTAGCCCCATTTATTAGAGCCAGTAGGGATGGAAAAACTATTCTTTTGTTAATTTTTTCCACTTAAAAAACCTTGACTAAAAAAAATACAACCAATTTTTTAAATTCTGTACAACCTAAACATATAACTCAAATTCAAATTCCTTGATAGTCTTCCCAGTCTGCTTAGTGGCAGAACTGTCACTCATTTGGCACCTATCATCTACTGCCCTGACACATAGTTTCATCTGCCAGTTGGTAAGCTCCAGGAGATCCTAATTATGTCCTAGGTGCCTTTGTATTCCAAAGATGAACACAGCACATGTACAAGAAATATGTAAAATAACTTTGATTGGTGAGTATTCAAATTAAAAGCCACCGACCCATGCAAACACATGCAGCTAGATTCCAAAATGGAAAATACACACACATATATACATGCAATAACACAAATTTATTATAATACACAGGGAAAAACAAACTTCAACAATGTCCACAGTGTTCCAGTCTTTAAAAAGTTAACAGAAATAAACGGTAATAGAACATAATGTCATGATTTTATAATTAAGGTGGCAAAATGGCAAAGTCCTATAGATATTTAAAAATTGATATTTGTATTTATTTACAATATACATATAGGTCCTCAAGAATTCATAGAGTTTTATGTAATAAACTAGATTTGGAGCTATTTTTTGTTATTGTTGTTGTTGTTTGTTAGGTAAGCAAATCCAAACAAATTAAGTCCTGAAAAGTGGGATGAAATCCCAAAGGAACTCTATGTGACCACACAGAACTCTTTTAATAAATATGGCCCACATAAATTCTATATCCAATGAAAATCATTTTGATCCACAATCATGTTGATGTTTCCATGGAGGATACTTCTGGCAGTTATGATTTCTTTTGTAGCATTCTAGCTCTCCACTTCTATTCATATAATTGAGTATGTGTTTTATTATATGATAGCTCATAGGCAAGTTAAACATTTTAAAGACTTCAGGGAGGTTATACAAGGTTGTATGATGAAGGTCGGAAAGTATGCAAGAATTAAACTCTCCTATTTCATCTATTTTATTTTTGCCTCATTTTGGTCTCTATATCACTTGGGGTCTTTGGAAATGGTGTGATTTATAACAGCACCTGACATATACCTTCTCATTTTAGCACAGGTTAGATATGAAGAGCCAAACCTGGAAAACAGTTAAGGAGTCCTGAGACCTTGCAGGGGAATAAATTAGAGCAGCAGTTTCCTTTAGCTATGCTCTTTTGCCCTTTATTCTTTTTTAAAAAATATATAAAATTACTCCCATTTATCAACCTTTACCTTCTCCTACTGTAATCAAGTTAAATCGCAAAAGATTACTTAAAGGCAAATAACCTTATGAATCTGGTAAGTGTAAAGATAAAAGGCCATGATATTGAGTAAAACTTAGGCATTGTTGTACAATAAGTATATCTATGTGTTCAAAATTAACTGGAGCCTTAAGTACTAATTGTTTAAAGTCCTATGAACATAAATAGTACTTCAAAACTGAATATAAATAAAAGAAGAACAAAATTGGGAAAAATTCACAAATGTTCAAATATTGCTATTTCTTGGACAAAACTCTGCTGACTAATAGTTTTGGTTCTCTGACAAGAAAATGTAAAAATAACAGAATTTTAGAAAGTAGTGATTTTAAAGAAACAAAGGCTATGCCAAATGAATTTCAGTCCTTTGTTATATTGTTTATAGGTCTGGAAACAGAAATCCAGGTTGTTAATTAATTCACAATTCTGAAAAATATTTTATTGTGCAGTATATCTATAACTTTATATAATCTATAGGTATTATGTAGTCTGTCTCTCTCCCAAAGTAGAACAGCCCTTGCTTACATAATCAGTTTCCATTAGATACTCTCTGTGCCACAATTTGCCTCTAGTTGCTTCAAAGCCACTCTAACCCAATCTGGAAACTGCCTACAATGGGTAATATTATTTATGATTTAAGGTTGTACCTGCGGTGTGCTAATGATCACCGGTGTGATACTATAACAGACAACAGATTTTTCCCACTGAACTACACAGTACTTTTTTCATTGACAAATTCACCTCTTTCCAGAGATATAGTTAATTGTAAAACAGTAATAGCAAAGTGTTCATTAACCCATTAAAACAAATCATCTTATTTTCAAAATAATCAACTGAATGAAACTTGGTGTCAAGTGCATCAGGGTACTAACCCAAAGGATTGTTACTGCGAAACTGTTTGTGCAACAAAAGGGTTGTGAGGAAGTCTTAGCAGCATAACTGGTGATGGCTACTCAAAAGATCCTTTGGACATTATCATTAGTGATTTTAAACGACAAGTTATCAAAAACTCACTCAATTTTCACCTGTGTTAGCTCACTAAAATGGGAATTAACTCTAGAGCAAATATAGCATCTTCTGAATACAGTCAATAAATGACAAAGGCAGGGCCTACGGTTAGAGGTTTCCAGACCCAGCAGAGAGAATCTATTGTATCATGTGGATCTCCATCCTTGCTCAAAATATCTAATGATATTTTTCATCTTTACTGGACTTCCTTGAAGAGAACTGTATTGCTTCATATCTTCCTTTCACTGTAAAAAAATGTGTTAAACAAAACCTTTGGATTAGGTTTAAAAGCCCCTTAAAAAAAAAAAAAACTTCTGGCTGCTGTAGGCTCTATCAGAAGACTGTTATCTGGGAGCTTCAGGCTCTCAAATATCAGACATCCAAATAACTTATCATAGAAATACAAGCTCTTAGTTTTGAAAAATATACAAAATGCACTGCATAGGTAAATATCTCTTGATTGTCAAGGAAGACAATATATCACTTTCAATCATAGACTTATGTTGTGCTTCAGTGATCTTTGTTTTTGCAAGTTCCATTTTTCACAGTTTTGGGCAACCTCTGACCTTTGGTGTAAGCACGGTACCAAAAATGGAGAAAGAGCAGCAGAAAGATGCAACCATAACTCATAATGACGTACAGAAAGACTGGAAACTGATACTTGCAATCCTCCATGAAAAAGAACTGGCCTATGTGGATGGTGACAATAACAAACTGGACCTAAAAAATGAAAACGTGAAAAAAAATTATCCAGATATGAAGAGTTACAATTCTTTACCTACCTATGTTTATGCACTCCCAAGGTGCAGGGAGTGCACTGTTGGACAGAGAAGTCCATCTTTAAATCTAGCCTCCCTGGGAGTGATGTGGGTGCTACAGGATCAAAAGCCAGTTGGAAGTATGGATCCACTATTCAGAACCGCAAAATGACACAACCGCAGGGTCTGTATTTAAATGTTTCCTGGTGTAGTGCAGTGCAGCAACCTTTTCACTACTCACAGAATCAACAGAGCAAGTTTTCTCTATAATTATAGTCTCTGACTTGAGTCCTTGACTATGATGAAATGACCATGGGACCACTACCTTGTGGCCTATTTTTTCAGGATGATTTCAATTTCAAATATTCTGTCCTGATATTGGACCAGATATTTTAATTTTTGGAAAATAAAAACATTTTACTTATTGCCCCTTGAATTTTGAGGTAGCCAAAGCATCTCTGAGCCTTTATACCTGCCACTTGTCCTCCACTGTCATAGGTGAAAATGAGGCCGGGTGCGGTGGCTCACACCTGTAATCCCAGCACTTTGGGAGGCCGACGCGGGTGGATCACGAGGTCAAGAGATCGAGACCATCCTGGTCAACATGGTGAAACCCCGTCTCTACTAAAAATACAAAAAATTAGCTGGGCATGGTGACGCGTGCCTATAATCTCAGCTACTCGGGTGGCTGAGGCAGGAGAATTGCCTGAACCCAGGAGGCGGAGGTTGCGGTGAGCCGAGATCGCGCCATTGCACTCCAGCCTGTGTAACAAGAGCGAAACTCCGTCTCAAAAAAAAAAAAAAACAAAAAGAAAAGAAAATGTGTCTGAACTGCCAACTGAGGCAGAGAATCTATAAGGTACAAGAGAGAACTGGTGGCCCTTCTAGTAGTGCTCAAGGGCTCTGTGGGGCAGAGCATCTTACACAGTCCCAAAAGGAACCTTTTCTAGGCTAATATTCAGATTTCCTAGTTATCATGTTTTTCCTGATTAAAAGGCAACGTGTTTTATGGAAATTTCATAAAAGTGAAAATCTATATAGAATAGATAACAATTACCCACAGTCTATCTAGTTATAATCATGGGTAAGATTTTCATATAGTTTATTATCATTTTATCCTTATCATCATCAGCTTTCCTTGCATTATCTTAATGTATGTTTCTGACATTCCCATAACATAGCCATTTATTCCTCTCATTTTGCAAAAGAGAAAACAAAACTTTAGAAAGGCTAAGCAATGTCCTCGACATTCTGTGCATGTGTGTACTTGTGTATAATTGATTCCTTTGAGAATGTAATGAACAAATGTCCATCCTATTTTTTCTACATCAGTATTTTTCCACATTATTAAAAAGTCTGTACAACATTTAAGAGTATGTTAAGGGAAAAAAATCCTAAAAACAAAATTATATATGCAATACTATACAAATCAAGTAAAAGGTGTATACATATGCCTGAGAGAAAAACTGAATGAAAGCAAAATAAAAACATCAGCAGTGATTATCCCTGGGTGGTAGAATTACATGTATTTTTTTTCTCTTTGCTTAATTGGGTGTTCTCACTTATTTGCAACGAGCATATACTACTTTGAGAAAATAATATTTTTTAAAGAAGCAATAGTGAGTAATTTTCATGATTTTATAGTATTTCAAAGTATGAATTAAAATAGTCTATTTTATGATTTCCTTATGGTTGGTCATTGAGTTTGCTGCCAATTTCAGATATAACAGATAACTCTGCAAGGAAATACTCTGATTTTCATTTTGGATCCTTACACATTAAAATATCAATCTCTCGCCTGGGAGAACACATTATATGAATGTACCAAATTTCATTTAGCAAGTTCTGTAATTGAAATCTGTAACAGGATTTTAATAAAAAATTAATCTTCAACACACTATCTAAGCCAAATTCATATTTTCCCATTGGTGTTACTGGCAGACTATGACAACAATTTTTATAGACTGCACATGTGGAAATACAAGGATGGCAGAATTCTCCTTTTAACAGATGCCAATAAAATTTAAAGCAAATCATCATCTCAAACCCATAATTATTCTCCAAAAAAATTAAGTACCATATATTTTGAGAATTAACGCTTAGAATGTATTATTAGGTCTAAACTGAGTGCCTCTGCTCTTTCAAACACTGCTTATATAAGGGCAGTATTCAGATTTATGTAATACATATATGTTGGTCTAACCCTCTACATTTTTAATTCTCACAATGCTTTTTATTGATTAAAGGAAAGATGGACTTATAAATGCTAGGACTTGAAAGGTAAGCACACAGGAAGGCTCGTTGTTCCCTCAAAGCTGCATTCCTTCAAGGTCATTTAGATCTAATGGAATTTTTAATTTAGTGTTATACCTATTAAGGGTCTTACAACTTTAAAATTATTTTGATCACAAATGTATTTATTTTTGTACAAATGCATAAAATAGTATAAAGATGGCATAAAAAATATACATGCCGGTTTAACTGTCTGAGTCTCCTGGTTACTAAATATGCTTTGCTTTCAACAAAGTTTCTAACAAAGTTCAGCTAACATATTAAGAACAATGATGGTATATCATATAGGGGCCAGACACTCGACTCCTATTGTTTTGTTAACTTTGTTCTTTTTCTTTTTTGAGATGGAGTCTCACTGTGTTGCCCAGGCTAGAGTCCAAGGCGTGATCTCAGCTCATTGCAACCTCTACCTCCCAGGCTCAAGCAATTCTCCCACCTCAGCCTCCCAAGTAGCTGGGATTACAGGTGCCTGCCACCACGCCCAGCTAATTTTTGGATTTTTAGTAGAGATGGGGTTTCACCATGTTGGCCAAGCTGGTCTCGAACTCCTGACCTTAACTGATGTGCCCGTCTCAGCCTCCCAAAGTGCTGGGATTACAGGCATGAGCCACTGTGGCTGACCAACTTTGTTCTTTATTTAACTAGTATCCTATTCACAGTAAAAACAAGTGACTCTAGTTGTTTCATATCTGGTTTTAAAGAAAATTAATTACTCACAAGTTGTAATGATGTCAAATATTTTTTCCACCACAAATACTTCTGGTAGGCGGGTCCCAGAGCACAGAGTCCGTAGTAGGAATACATGACTACATGTACAGCTGTATTCAGAAAGGCATGGAATGTTCCCAAACCACCTGGAAAATAAAATTATTGTAACATGGGGCCACTGTTCCTTAAAAATGAACCACATTTTTGTCTTAAGTTAGATTTCTGTATAATTATCTTAAATTTAGGAAAAAAAATATATAAAATGTAAATCCTGTTAAACAACTATCAAATTAGAGGGGGCTGAATAGCATATTTAGTAAAACAGAAGATACAATTCTGAGAAAGTAAATTAGCATGTCTTTATTTTGTCATATCTTAGCATAAGGTGGTCTTAGGATTTGAGTTTACTTAAACTTAGTTACCTTTTAAATATAATATATTGCTAAATAATAGTAATAACATTCATATTTTAGTGAGGGTTAACATATAGAAAGTACACAAAGTACATTAATCTTAACTTGATGATTTTTCATGTATGTACACACCCATGTAACCACCAAGATCAAGATATAGAATATTTCCAATACCACTTAAGATTCCCATGTGCTTCTTCCACGAATATACCCCTCCAAAGGTAACCTTTACTCTAACTTATCACCAACTATTAATTTTGTCTGCTATTAAACTTCACATAAATGGAATTACACAGGATGTACTCTTTAGTACCTGGTACACATATTGGTAGTTTGTCTTTTTACTACTTTGTAGTATTACACCATATAAATGCATCATTAGTTACCCATTCTCCTATTGACAGACATGTGGGTTGCTTCCAATTTGGTCTATTCTGAATAAAGCTGCTAAGAATATTTTTGTACATGTGACTGTGTGGAATCAAATTAACTTTTCCTACTCTCAATAATCTTCATTAAATAATTGTGGCAGTAAAATCACTGGCTTTCATTAGCAAACTGCTATATTTACTTTAATGAATTATTGTTTTCCCAAAGTAAGTATCTATTAATTGTTCAACCATCTTTACTTACTGCTTCCAATTGATTATGCCTTCCTATCTTGGTTTTCCTCTTCTAATTTTGTCACATTTCCTACTGATCGCCTTCAATTAAGAATAGAAGCCAAGAACATGTGGGAATGTAAGAAAAGATCATTTCAATTTTCTTTAGCTGGACCAGCAATAAAGCAGAAGGGGTAACAGGTGTTTAACTGATAGTGTGGCAGGGGGAACACTGTCCCCTAGGGTCCCTTTCCTAAGAAGAACAATCTGGAAAAATACGTGTTCTTTATGTATAGCCTGAGTCAGCTTAGTAATGCTGACCTGGAATTTACATTTTTCTCTAAAACATTCTATTTTCTTAATTCCAGTATTCTTTAATTCTGGAAATAAAGCAAAATCTCATCACATTAGATTATGGTAGAAGAACTGAATTCATAAACACTATGTATTACAGAAAGTTTAAAGCAAAATACAAATTCATCGCTTCTAATATAATCTTATAAGGAAAAAATCTAATAAAATTGTTACACAGGAGAAATTATTTAAAAATAATTATTCATAATTGTAGCAATTCTAGATATGTCTAGATACTAGCACTGCTGAAGTACTCTGTTAAAATAACTTGTTTTAAATAATTACTTTTAAGTTGTTAACTATTCTTCCAAAGCCTCATTTATGCTATACTGTTCTACATAAACTTTCTCCTTCTGACTAGAGTAAACCAAATTTTAGCTAATCCCTCAATTACCATAAATTTCAAGTCAGAAGGAACGAAATTAATGAAGCTTATTAACAACTTTCCAGCTTGTATTATTTACACTTGGATTGGTCTTCGTTCCCAAAGGAAATTTGAATAAACAAATGACTGTGATGTAAGAACACCTTTTCTAAGTTAATTTAAAAATAGAATAGTTCGGCCACGCGCGATTGTAATCTCAGCACTTTGGGAGGCCCAGGCAGGCAGAACACCTGAGGTTAGGAGTTCGAGACCAGCCTGCCCAACATGGCAAAACATCGTACCTACTAAAAATACAAAAAATAAGCTGGGCATGGTGGTGGGCGCCTGTAGTCCCAGTTACTCGGGAGGCTGAGGCAGGAGAATCACTTGAACCCAGGAGGCAGAGGTTGCAGTGAACCAAGATTATGCCACTGCACTCCAGCCTGAGTGACAAGAGCAAAACGTCTCAAAAAAAAAAAAAATAGAATAGTTGTCTACTTCTGATAGTTTAGGAGTCAAGCTGCTTAAAAGGAGGATAAGCCAAATACCTCTCAAATTCATTTGTGTTTCATAATAATATTCACATAGAAAATATATTTCACCTTTGATATGGAACTAAGTCAGAGCTTTTCTAACTAAGATGCCCCTCCTATTATTTAATAGAGGAGTGTCTATTTTCTATCTGGACACTTTCACCATTAGATATCCTAAAATGAGAATCTTATACACAGGGATTTAACAAAGCACTAGTGCAGCCAAGAGTGTTTCGTAAGGTTTACTGATCAAAATAAGCTGTCAAATAAAAGTAACATGTTTACTTTCTCTAGTTATAATTATTTTTTGACAAGCCATTTTAATAAGTTTATTTACAAAACAACTATATTTTAATTAGTAATGCTTTTTGTATCTTCTTTGGAAGGCTTTCTAACAAAATATTTTCTAAGCCTGTGCTCTTCTTTATGATAATGGGTCTGTAAACATCTGAGAATGAATTACAATTAGTACCACCACATTTTACTCCTTTGGAAAAAACAAAGGAATCACCTGGGTAATTATTACTGTTCTCCATATCTCTGGAAAAAGATATATGCACAATTAATATAAAAACCTACCACAGAAATATTTTCATCCTATTCAAAAGAAAAGCTGGATTGCTATTACCCCATTGAGGAGTTCAACAGAAAAACAGGAAATTAAATACTAGATAGAGATCAGCTATACTCAAGTTTTTGCAAAGAATAGTTTAGAATGGACAGTTTCATTCTAGGAATGGAAGTCAGTGCCAAACCACATTTCTGGAAACAGCTTTTGTTGTTGCGCTTGTCACTGACAGATATCATGTCTGCTGAACAAGTGTTTACTAGAATTCCACATGTAAGACTGAGTAGAAGTACCAATGCATGGAACATATGAAGGAGAAGAAAATTATCATCTACTATTTTCATTTTGTAAAGAAGAAGGATTAAGGTGTGGACAAGAAACCCACTGTAAAGTGACTGATGTCCATAAACATAGTAGTACCACTTAAAAATTGAGGTATGTCGCTTGGACCTGAAAGGCAGAGCCAAGATCGCACCATTGCACTTCAGCCTGAACAACAACAAGAGCGAAACTCTGTCTCAAAAAAAAAAAAAAAAAAAAAAAAATGATGTATGTCATATTTAAATTCTCATTATTAAAAGCACTGCTTGCTTTTGAAATGAAAACTACACTATCAATGGACTCAAACATGGAAGTTAGCAAAATTCTCAATTCATTAAATAAAATTTATTTCTCCCATTATTGAACTATCAAGATATTCAATATACAAAAATTAGAAAATATAGAAAAAGGGAGGGAAATAAAGAAGGAGGAAAAAAAACCCCTTTTTGTTTCACTATCTCTAAATCACCACTGCTTATACTTTGGGACACTGCCTTTTGATTTTTTTCTATTCACATTTATTTTTCAGTGTGTATTCTGGCCTCATGCAAGAAACCAGAAGAAATAAATTATAAGGATATGAAAGCACCTTTTCTAGCATACTTTAAAAATAGAATAGTCATCTATTTCTGATAATTTAGGAGTCAAACTGCTTAACAAAGAAGATGAACTTTGTTAAGTCCCTGTGTATAAGATCCTCATTTTAGGACATTTAATAACTCTCAATATCATTTTTGTTTCACAGTTATACATACACAAGTAATAATAACCACTCCATTAGTGAGTGTTTAGGTATCTTCCAATTTTTCACAAACACCAATAAGTCTCAATGTATATCACTACAGAAAGAATGGAAAGGGGTAATATGCACAGAATAAGAAACAGAAACAGAGAAAGTAAGGATAAGTAAAATAATGGAGATTAAATAATACAGTTACCATTGATTTGAGAAGTGAACACCACTGGGACTATCTTGTTTTAATGTAACTTAAATGTTTTTCCTACAGACCTTATGAGAAAAAGCAGCTACATTTACTTAAAAACATCCCTCAATAATAAATGCCAATTTTGAGCAAGGAGGTACTTTACATCCTGGAAAATCCGATGCCCATAAGCCATGGTAGGGACAGCTGTTTAGTCATAATATGCAGCCCCTGTGGCTCCTCTGGGTTCTGGCATCCCCTTCCAGACACTGGCTTTTCCATGTCCTCTCATGCTCTGAGACATGTAGATTTTTGTCCTCCATGCTTAGAGAGACTAGAACTCAAATAAGAGTTCCTCAATTGTGGTTCCTCCTTTCTTTTAGTCTAGCGGAGTCAGAAAGGCCAGTAGAGGCAAACTATTCATAGAAATGTTATGAGCTATGGGCCTATTTGAAGACTTCTAAAATTTAAGAAACTGGAATAAATAAATTTCCCAACCAAATTTTCCTAAGGTAAGAATATATCCCCTTGGGGATATCACTTATTTAAAACTGCATAATAGGATAAAATTACTTCTGGTTTCTCCAGTTCTAGATGTTCAGAAGCCTAAAATGAAAAGGAAACAAACAACCTGTTTTCCAAGTGTTCAATTTAAACTATTTTGGACCTTAGAAACAGTATCAACACATCCTTTAACATGGTAGGATGCTTTAGGAATTTGGGGTAACCACAATTTGACACATCTTTAAAGAGGTTTTAGGGGTTAGAGTATGTGTCAGCTATTACAAATTTGAAAGCAAATAAGACACGAAATTTGTGATAAGCATTCTAACTTCCTTGGAACATACAGGAAATTGTTCTCTAACTATACTCCTGTAAAGCCAAAGCTTTTACCATTTTATTTATTATTTATTTAAAGATATTTAATAAACCTTTTTGGGAAAAAAGTAAAATACAAACAAAACAACTAAAGAATATGTGTAGAAGACTGTGGCCAGAAGTTATGCATATCTAAAGAGTGGGGGAAACCCAATTATTTTAAGAGTCTTATGTTTAGTTTTCAAGTAATAATTCATGAAAAAAGTATAAACAAAGTGACTTTTTGGTTTTTTGAGTTTCTTATAAATCGCATTTCAGAAAAATATTTTTGTTTATAGCATACAGAAATGTTATTGTTTATAACACATGATCCCAACCTTCCCTTGCCTACCTGCAGCAAATTTGACTCCAAACCACCAGGTCCATGGCATGATGGTATGATGAAATACATGAAGGAAAGTCACTTGGCTATTTTTCTTGCGCAGAACAAAAAAGATCTGAAATAATTTAAAGAATATCAAGTTCATATAAAATCATGTGATAGTGTATTGAGTATTACAAAAATATTAGCAAAGTGCAAAGTATTTTATAGTTTTATCTAAAAGCATTGCCTTATAGAATGCTGATAGAAGCAGCTAATTCCCCAAGGGGTAGCTCAAAAGCTAATTATTATGAAGAAATGTAGGTACCATGCTTACACATGGCAGAACCAATAAAAAGGTGAAATGAAACTTTATGTAGATTAAAAAATCAAAGATATAAAGTAAGAAATATGGCCAAAAGTTACCTAAGTAAATTTTATTGGTAAAAAAAAAAAAAATCCCAGTGGATTTTGAAGTATATGGGAAAGTAGAAGACAGGACTGAAATATTCCACATTGTGCTCTGGATAAAGAATTAGGCAAACGAAGAGGACTCGCAACAAATCAAAAGTTAGCAAATTAATATTAAAAAGGGAGAAAAAGTTGAAAAGCTAATTTGAGAATATGATGAAAAAGAAAGCAAAACTGCATAGAAAAAAACTGAGAAGGGGAAGGAAGGTAACACTCAGAGTGAACATATCCTGTGGTTTGTAAAAACCCTATAAACAAAATGGTAGAATCTGGGGGAGGGGGAAATGTTTAAAAAACATTACAAAGTGAAATTCAGAATATAAGTGTTAAGGCTTTTAAATAGAAGACTAAACAGAATAGCAAAAGAAAAGGATTAAGAGGAGTATTTGAGAAATGTAGTTTAGGGAAGGACATAGAAGCAGCACAGTTTCCTTATGGAAGCTGGAACTGAGAACATGCAAAGCAGAAACAATGAAGCTAAAATGCATTTGCCTATGCACAGGGAAGATGGCTGAGTGGTACAACAGAAAAAGCCATATACTATCAATCTGAGTTCTAGTCCCAGTCAGTAGCAGCAGTCCTCTGGGTAAGTCATTTAACTTCTTGGCTTCAATTCCTCAGAGTGAAGGTTCTGGACTAATGTTTCTCAACCATGGCTGCATATTACAATATCCAAGAAGATTTTTAAAAATAGGTATGCTTGGTCTCTCTTCCAGAACATTTGGCACCAAATCCCTGGAGGTAGGGCCTTTCTTTGTCATCATTGTTTTCCCTAATGCAATTAATTCTATTGCACAATTCGGGCTGAGAACCACTAGAACACAGGTTCGCAAAATGTGGTCCCTGGACCAATAGCATGAACATCATCTGAGAACTTGTTAGAAATGCAAATTTTGAGCTCCATATAAGACCCTAGTGAATCAGAAACTCTGGGGGTGGGGATCTAGACATCTGTGTTTTAACAAGTCTTCCAAATGATTCTAAACACATGTTAAAGCTTGAGAACCACTGTATTTTATGTTCAGACAAGCCCTTTCCAATTCTAACGTTATGTGATTAGTCATTTGAAAAGGTGAAGCATATTGAGATTCCCTCTAAGAAATATCATGGTATGCATTCCAAAGAAAACACACTTTCCAGTCTCAGAGCCAAAACTAGCTGCAAATAACCAATATACACTTGCTGCAAAGATATAACAAATATTCAGCTTTCCTAAGCTACAATGGAAACAAAGGTTCATGGCTTTCTCCTCCAAATCACAGACCCTAATCCTTGACACTTGCTTGTTCCAGGACCAGTCAACCAAGTTTAGAGTTGATCCTCACCGGGATCTGAAGTAGGAAGAGATAGTGCCCAGTAAGCACAGACTTCAGAAAAGCAGCTGAATTATTGATACCCCAGGAGTAATTCAACATTCTAGTGTAAGTTTATGAATTTTTAAGCACTTACTCTCCTAAAGGAATATAGATGACTGTGCTTTGGGATGAAAAAAACAGAACAAACAACAAAGGTAAGATGATTTTTGCTTTTTACTTCCTGAACTTGATTCATAAAACGACTGTCATCCATCTATGTAAAGATGCAGTTTTGTAGTATGCAACATAGTTACATGCTTATCTTAATCAAGTGATAGCTATATAACAGAAACCTTTTAGAGTTTGCAAAATACTGAAAAAATAAAGTTATTTTATCTATTCTCTAAAGTTACTGATAATAAAAGATTAAAAAAGATAACAGTAGGTCTACCTGAAAAGGAGAAATAAAAAGTTATCAGACAAGTGAAACTACAGCAGTTTATTGCTTTCACTGAAAGATCAAACATTTTTTTGAAAGATCAAACATTTACCAAATGTGGTGGCCATATACTCACTGTATCTAATAGCTCAATAAATTTGGAGAAGTAATAAAGCCAGCAGGTACGTGCCATCTGCAGAAGCACAAATAAATATAAATTAATTTTATTTATTTTTTATATGGAAGAAAAGCTTATTTTTTTAAATTTTGGTAAAATATGCATAACATAAAATCTGTCATGTTAACCATTTTTTAGTGCACAGTTAAGTGGCATTAAGTACCTTCACATTGTTGTTCAACCATTTGCCACCATCCATCCATAGAACTTTTTCATCTTGCAAAATTGAATCTATACCTATTTAACTACATCCCATTCCTCCTCGCCCCTAACTCTAGCTACAATTCTACTTTCTGTGTCTATAAATTTGACTACCCTAGGTACCTCATATAAGCCAAATCATGCAGTATTTGTCCTTTTGTGACCAAATTATTTCACTTAGCATAGTGTTCTCAGCGTTCATCCCTTTTGTAGCATGAGTTAGAATTCCCTTCCTTTTAAAGGCTGAATCAAATTCCATTCTATGATTATGCCACATTTTGTTTATCCATTTATCTTTTTTTTTGAGACAGAGTCTCACTCTGTCACCCAGCCTGGAGTGCAATGGCGTGATCTTGGCTCACTGTAACCTCCACCTCCTGGGTTCAAGCGATTCTTCTGCCTCAGCTTCCTGAGTAGCTGGGACTACAGACACATGCCACCACGCCCAGCTAATTTTTATATTTTTGTAGAGATGGGGTTTCACTGTGTTGCCCGGGCTGGTCTTGAACTCCAGAGCTCAATCCACTGACCTCGGCCTCCCAAAGTGATAGGATTACAAGCATAAGCTACCATGCCTGGCCTCGTTTATCTGTCCATCTATCCATGGACATTTGGGTTGCTTGTACCTTTTGGCTATTATGAATAATGCTGCTGTCAACATGGCTGTACAAATATCTCTTCAAGTCTCTGTTTTTGATTCTTTTAGGTATAAACCCAGAAGTGGAATTGATCTTATGGTAATTTTATTTTTAATTTTTGAGAAACCAGATGTGAAATTATTCTTAAATCCAAGAAATTCAAAAAGAAAACACCAATTTTCATTTTACAGAAAATTATACATGGGACTTTCTCTCATTCTTGTAATTTTTAGCTTTTTTCCCCTACAACACACAATCTGATAATTGAGTCATTTGCTTATTCTAAGTTTACATTCAATGCTACAAACAGTTGACAAAATTTTAACATTGATTTTGAATTTGAAGATTTTCCAAAGAGAAACTTACCCTCAAAGCTGTGGGTGACTGTGAATAGTCAACAATTTCACATTGAAATGAATAACCTGTACCCCAGCCAGACATCACAAACTGCAAGAGAGCACATGCATATTAAGAAAGGAAAGCATTTTCCCAATAGCCCGAACAAAGGTAGTTTTGACAGTAGCTCTTCATTACATTTTCAGCTGAGTCAGTAGTCAGTGCAGAGGAAAAGGTAGCTGGAACAAATACAAAATATGAACATTCTTGATGGCAAGAATTTTCAAAATTACAAGCCCATATATTATTTATATAAACTGTGTTCTCACTAAAATGCTCATCTCTTGGGATGATTATTCCAATATGGTGAAGAATAAAATACTTGGAGAGGTGTTTTGCTTATGCAGCAAATATTGGTAGGTGATTTATCTTAGGTTCAGCTGTATGTGTAGGAGTGAATGTGTTTGTGTACTCTTAGAGGAATACCTGGATCTGAATCAGTCTTTTCTAGCAATTTCCAGTCTTTCTACTTAGTCAATAAGTAAACATGGAAACCAGAATGCCTTAATGTACTCATGAGAGAGCTGCGACAACTGGGATTTTCCCATCATTGACTGGTGAGTATAATGTGGACTGGTAGTCCACGGCTCAGATATTATTGATAGTTTTACTGTGGATCCACAAGACAAGTAAGAGGAAAACACTCTTGTTAACAATAAAAGTGCAATCTGGCAGGCCTTAATGCCAACACACCCACAAACTGATCCAAGGCTGGTGGTGAGAAGAAAGAACCTATTGTTGATAAATCTGAACTGTAATTCAAAGATTATGCTGACATTCTTTCAGTCTGACGGTGGGAAGGGCTTCTTTTAAAACAGTATCTGAAAAGGAAAAGCCAAGGCTCTAATTTTAAATTAACACATATATGAAATGGTATGCTTAATTTTGGGTACTGACAATATGATCAGTATTTCTTTTCTCTGACTTCTTCTACTCATACATGCCAAATCCTCCCTAGAAGATCTTCTCTCTCAGTATAATGGTTATATCCTTTTCTGCCATTGAACCACATTTTAAATTTCTAGTTTTAATTACTATAAAAGGTAAAATTGCAACTTTATAATAAATTACATTCTAGAAACAAAAGTTTATATGGCATTGTCAGAATAATATTCTGATGGTGCAAAGAGAACAATTATTAGATATGATGGTATTATAAAGTACATCATTCTTTTCTGAGACTAACCCCTAGCTTGACTTATAATTTAATCACACTGTTAACTTAGTAAGTTATAAAATCTTGAAAATTAAGACTCCAAAAATCACGACATGTATTTTGTGAACAAGAAAAATATCTTTCAAAAACAAATCAATAGATTTTCCCAAAGGAATAAGGGCACATGACATAGAAATGGCTAATTCTGTTTTACAATATCCTGCTGTCAGTGAGTGTCCTCATATTCTCTTGTGCTCAGACTCACTTTGACTAATGTAATGCTCTATGGCCAGGAGCTATTTACTGGAAATGTAATGAATAATACCCCAAACAAGCACTGTGTTGAATGAAAGTTGTGTGATTGGCCTTCTGTTGGGTCTTAAGTGATCTCTGATGGTGTCTGACTGATGCCAAGTAACTAGCACTTTCAAACAATTACTATACAATAAGGCATCTGAGTTACTTGAGTCTGATGTGCCTCCCTTTCACTTTCTTCAGATTTGGCCTAATATCACCAGTGGAGGTGTTTGCTTTGTAAACCAAATGAAATCATATTCCATACAATAAACCATATGTTCAGATGTGCCATCAACAGATGGATGGCATGCTGTGTGGCTGTCAAAAGCCTTTGTGTAATAAGAGTAGAACATTTAAGAGCATTCTAACAGCCTGTGGAACTTTATATATATATATGTCTATACCCCAGACTAGTAATAAGAAAAATTAGTCCAGGCCCAGTGGGTCACACCCGTAATTCCAGCACTTTGGGAGGCTGAGGGAAGCGGATCACTACAGCCTAGGAGTTTGAAACCAGTCTGGGCAACATGGCAAAATGCAATCTCTACAAAAAATTTAAAAACTAGCCAGACATGGTGGCACATGTCTGTAGTCCCAGCTACTTGGGAGGCTAAAGTGGGAGGATCATTTGAGCCTGGGAAGTCAAGGCTGTAGTGAGCTAAGATTGTGCCACTGCACTACAGCTTGGCTGACAGAGAGAGACCCTTTTGGAAAGAGAGAGAGACAGAGAAAAAGAGAGTGAATGAAATAAAAGAAAGAGAGAGGGGGGAGGGAGGGAGGAAGGGGAAGAGAGAGAGAAAGAAAAAGAGAAAGAGAGATAGAAGGGAGAAAGAAAGACAGGACAGAAGGAAAGAAGGAAGGAAGGAGAATTCTAAAAGAAGGGAGGAAGAGAGGGAAAGGGAAGAAGGAAGAATTCAAAGAAAGAAAGGAAGAAAGAGCAAAAGAAAAGGAGAATGCTAAGAAAGAAGGAAGGGAGGGAAGGAAAGGAAAAGAAAGAAGGAAGAAAAGAAAGACAAAGAAAAAAAGAATGAAAGAAAGAAAGAGAAAGAGAGAAAGAAAAGAAAAAGAATTTCCTGAATTCAAAAATTAATAATTTATATTTGGCAGGTAATTGCTGAAACTGACCCATAAGTAACTCAAGTATTAGCAGTAAATGAGAGTCAGAAAGTCTCAAATTCAGATATTTTAAAACCTTCTTTTACACTGTATTTGATCAAGTAGGAATCAAAGCTGACTGCTGATTCTTTTGAAGTCCAAGAAATATATTTGGGGACATTATAATCAATGACAAATCAGACACAGACCCTAAGAATTTGAGAACAAGAAGGGATCTGAGAGACTAGTTGGTTCAATTCTGTCTTTATAAAATGAGAGAACTGAGGCCCAGAAAGATGAAGTAACTTGCTAAAAATCAGGCAGCCAGTCAGTGGCAGGACTAGAACTAACTAGTCTCTAATCTCCTGACTTTCAAATATGTTCTTATCCCTTACTACAACATGCTGTCCCATAAGACCATGCTAGGACCCTGTGTCTTTTTTGCTACCATCTCTATCACTCTTTCCCCCTCAGTTGCTCATACTCCTGAAGGGACAGTAAGAGTAGCCTGTGAGTTAATTTTGAAAATAAAATAGGAGAAATGGAAAGCAGCAGAGTGAATCCCAACTATAGAGAGGTCTGTGAAAAATAAGGCTGGAGTAGATTTTTTATTTTACTTTTTTAAGACAGGGTCTTGCTCCATCAGTAGACATGATCATGGCTCACTGCAGCTTTGACCTCCCAGGCACAAGTAATCCTCTCACCTCAGTCTCCCAAGTTGCTGGGACCATGGGTGTGTACTGCCACACCAGGCTATTTTTTTTTTTTTTTTTTAAGAGACGAGGTCTCCCTGTGTTGTTGAGGCTGGTCTCAAACTCCTGGGCTTAAGCGATCCTCTTACTTCAGCCTCCCAAAGTGCTGAGATTACAGGTGTAAGCCACCACACCTGGTCAGCCAGAGTAGATTTAAAGTGATCAAATATGGTGGATCTATAACAAGAGTCAGGTCAGAAAAATGCATGTGGAGAGACTATAGTATCAGAAGACGTCAGTGGGGCCATATTGGGCCCTTGTGAGCCCTACTTATGACTAAGCACAAGCTATGCTATAGAGGAAGTTAATAAAAAAGGATGATGAAGCCAGCCAGAGTTGGAAAAGAAGCAAGGAATCTCAGAAAAGAACATACATGGGGGTGGCTGAGGCATGTTAATAGTACAGGGGAAGAGAGAGAATTCGTGAATATGTTTTAGGGTCCTGGAAGAGCCCCGTCTCTTTTATTGACAATTAAGGAACAGTAATGAATTAAAGAGTTAATGGGAAAAAAAATTAAGGAACAGGTTCCCTCACCTACTGCTTTACTAAGTCTATGGTCTCTGTCCCCACAAAGCCCAGCTAAACCAACCAAAACAGTCTACCATCCTATAGTTCATCAGAGTATCCAGAAACCAAAGGTTTCTACCATGATGATGACAACTCATTATTGAGTCAAGATGAACTCTGATGTCAGACAGACCCAGGTTCAAATATCAGCCCTCCACTTACCAGCATCACTACTTTAGTTATGAGTTTTCTCAAAACTAAAATTTATGGATTCCCTTCAATCATCCATAAAGGCAACTATGTACCAATCCATGGACTAGATGTTAATTTTTCTCATTGTCTGTGAGTTAGATTATATTGAGATCCTCAAATGAGTTTATTATTTGGTCTATACCTAACACTGTTTTGGCAAATACCTGCTCTAATGAGATCAGTTTCTAAATTCCTAAAGTTGCAAAGGTTACCCTTTAACAGAAAACACAGTGACACATAGAAAGACTCAGGTAAAATTCTCCCATTAGGAATACTGAAGACACTTGCCTCATAACACATATATACAGAAAACAGCACTATGAAAAAATTGTACGTTATCATCACTTTCTTGAGTTCAAAGGGCTTGCGATTTTCCATGAGCTTTGGTCCCAGAGAAGTGACAAAATAGACATACAGTCCTAGGAGGATGGTTTGCGGCAGAGGTGAGGACATGAGGAGCCAATCTTCAACTCTTGGATCTAAGACAAAAACAATATGTGAGCACACACCTGCTTAGTCAAAGGATAACTAACAGCAATGAACATTTCTTTAATTGAGCACCCAGATCAAGCCATTGACTGTGAGCTATTTGGGCAATGATCACTAGTATCTTTAGAGAGATGAAAAAGAAATCAACAAGAATAAGGAAGTATCCTGCAGCTAGAAACAGTGGGGCTCTCAATACCCCTAGGCCTCAACAGGCTAGGGGAAGTAGTAGTGACCAGAACCCAAAAGGAGAGAGTGACTTGGAGAAGCCCTCCTGGAGAGGAGCTGTGTTATGTACTGATTTCCTACATGATGGGATTAGTGCCCTTATAAAAGTTACCCTAGGGAGCTCTCCTGTTCTCTTTCCCCATGTAAGGATACAATGAGAAGATGGCAGTCTGCAGCCTGGAAGAGGGTCCTCACCAGAACCTGACAGTGCTGGCAACCTGATCTCAGACTTCCACCCTCAGAACTCTGAGAAATAAATTTCTATTGCTTATAAACTATCCAGTCCATGATAATTCCTTAGAGCATCCTGAGTGCACTACAACAAGTTCTGACTGCCATGTAAGGGATGTGGCCAGCCCAAGACAATTCTGTATGTATGGGGCCAGAGGAATAGATACCCCAACTCCACTCTCCTCTCCCTCTCCACTGGCTGAACCTAAGCAGAAAGCAGAGGGCAGGGGAGCAAGCCCAAGGATAGTCTTCATGGGTCGTTCTCCAGGGCCCAGCACAGGGTACCAAGGCTATCTGAAAGAGAGAACACCGAGCAACATCCCACCATGTGTCTATAGCTACTATTAATATCTTAGAGTTTTTCCATCCACATATTCTTTTATTTATTAAAAAAAGTTTATGTTTGCTGCTTCTTTTTTCCTTCCTCAGCAATTCTGGTACACTTCCACATATATGGTATCACAGAATCACAGAATAGAAAGGGAGCTGAGCATCCTCTAAGTAGCCCAAGTATGGGCTTTTGGAGTCTGACATGTAGGCTAAGCACTGTGATATTCTGAGCAAAAAAAATGCACTGCTCTCACATTTGCAAACAAAAATTTACCTGCTTACTGCCAGCTGCAGGCCAGCAGAGATGGATAAATAAAAAAATTACAACTCAGGACAAAATGTGCTTAAGTCTATAATTGCTAGTAGTTCAAGTGTAATTTTACTAAATGTCCTCATGAAGCCAGAGCATTATGAAGGAAAGTAAGTATGGATAAGTTTCCAGAAGGATCTGACTCAAAATTATGCCATGACTAACCTCAGGATGCTAACTACTGTCACTTTATCAATTGGAAAAGAAGAGTAGCAGCTCTTGCTTATTTAAGCTGGTAATGATGTGCCGAGTACTGACAAATTCTGAATACCCTGCAAGTGTGACCTTCCACTCAAAATTTCCTCAGTAGGACTCTACGACTGATAACTCACTTGGCCCTAATTTTAGCACTAGAATGCTTACATTTGACCGTCACTGTGCATGGCTGATTATTCTGCATTCAAATAAGCCTCCCTCAGAAACACTGACAGATGCCTCTGTCTCAATAAATAAATAAATAAATAAATAAATAAATAAATAAATAAATCTACAGAGTCAAGAGTCGGCACCAGACTGGACCCCAGGACATTTAAGAATTTAATATATGATTAAGGAAGCCATATAAACAAACAAGCAGAGAAGGAAGAGATCTTCAACAAATGTCGATAGGAAAACTGACTACTTGGGAGAAAAACGAGTTTGTTTCTTATCTCATATCCTATACAAGCATGTTCCAAACTATGCATGGAAGCAAGCTATTTAAAGACTTTCTACAAAGAGTGGCGGAGTACTAGAATGCTGGGTTAAACAAACAGGTTGCATTACTGCAGGATTTCTTAATGCTTCATGTTCACCATAAATTGCCAAGATGGGAATGGTAGTATGACACATTCTCTAAACTTATTTGGCCACAAAACATTAACTTTTTTGTAGAATGTTATTTAACATCTTATGAAACTAATGTTCTGTGGAACACAGTTTGGGAAATATAGCCATTCACTAAAATAAATTTACTAATTAAATGACTGAAGATTAGGTAGTCAGACATACAAAGCAGCAGCTAGTACCAATCCTACTGAAACTACTCCAAAAAATTGAGGAAGAGAGATTCCTCCCTAATTCATTCTATGAAACTAGTATCATCCTGACACCAAAATCTGGCAAAGACACAACAATAACAACAAAAAGAAAACTACAGGCCGATATGCCTCATGAACATATATGCAAAAAATCCTCAAAATACTAGCCAGCTGAATCCAGCAGCACATCAAAAAGTTAATTCACAAGGAACATTTGCTATGGGTCTGTATGTCACAAAGGAAGTCTCCATAAATAAAAGTTGCCATAGAACCAGGGACCAAGGGAAAAAATTAAAACTGATCAAACTTTGATAGATTTCTTCTATAAGTGGGTAGTGCAAACCTTAAATACATGAACATCATTGTATTAGTCCATTCTCGAACTGCTATGAAGAAATACCCAGACTGTGTAAATTATAAAGGAAAGAGGTTTAATTGACTCAACACAGTTCTGCATGGCTGGGAAACTTACATGTAACATCAGGAAACTTACAATCACAGCAGAAGGCACCTCTTCACGAAGTGGTTGGAGAGAAAATGAGTGCCAGCAAGGGAAATGTCAGACACTTAAAAAAACCATCAGATCTTGTGAGAAACAATCACGAGAAAAGCATGGGGAAATTGTCCCCATGATTCAATTACCTCCCACCAGGTCCCTCACATAATATGTGGAGATTACGGGAACCACAATTCAAGATGAAATTTGGGTGGGTCAAACCATATCATTCTGCCCGTGGCCCCTCCCAAATCTCATGTCCTCACATTTCAAAACACGATCATTGCCTTCCCAACAGTCCCCCAGTCTTAACACATTCCAGCATTAACTCAAAAGTCCAAGTCCAAAGTCTCATCTGAGACAAGGCAAGTCCCTTATGCCTATGAGCCTGTAAAATCAAAAGCAAATTAGTTATTTCTTATATACAATGGGCGTACAGACACTGCATAAATACACCTATTCCAAATGGCGGAAATTGTCCAAAACAAAGGAGCTACTGGCCTCATGCAAGTCCAAAATCCAATAGGCTAGTCAATAATTCTAAATGTTCCAAAATGATCTCCTTTCACTCCACATTTCACATCTAGGTCATACTGATGCAAGAAGTAGGCTCCCACGGCCTTGGGCAGCTCTGCCCCTGCTATTTTCACTGGCCAGAACTGATTGTGGTTTCTCCAGGTGTACAGTGCAACCTGCCAGTGGATCTACCATTCTGGGGTCTGGAAGATGGTGGCCCTCTTCTCACAACTCCACTAGGCAGTGCCCCAATGGGGACTCTGTATTTTCCTTCCACAGTGCCCTAGCAGAGGTTCACCATGAGGGTTCCACCCCTTGCAGCGAACTTCTGCCTTGACATCTAGGAGTTTCCATACATCCTCTGAATACTCAATTCTTGACTTCTGAGCACCCACAGGCTCAACACCATGTGGAAGTGCCACAGCTTGAGGCTTGCCCACTCTGAAGCCATGTAGTTTGGCCCCTTTTAGCCATTCCTGGAGCAGCTGGGGTGTAGGACGTCAAGTCCCTAGGCTGCACACAGCAGGGAGGGCCCTGGGCCCAGCCCAAAAAACTATTTTTTCTTCATAGGCCTCCAGGTCTGGGATGGGTGGGACTGCCACCAAGGTCTCTGACATACCCTGGAGACATTTTCCCCATTGTCTTGGTGATTAACATTCAGCTCCTGTTACTTATGCAAATTTCTGCAGCAGGCTTGAATTTCTCCCCAGAAAACTGGATTTTCTTTTCTATTGCATCATCAAGCTGCAAATTTTCCAAACTTTTATGCTCCTTCCTCTTTAATGCTTTGCCACTTAGAAATTCTTCTGCCAGATACCCTATATCATCTCTCTCAAGTTCAAAGTTTCACAGATTTCTAGGGCAGGGGCAAAATGCTGCCAGTCTCTTCCTTAAAGCATAGTAAGAATCACCTTTATTCCCAAAAAGTTCCTCATCTCTATCTGAGACCTCATCTCAGCCTGAAATTCATTGCCCATATCACTATCAGCATTTTGGCCAAAGCTATTCAACAAGTCTCTAGGAAGTTTCAAACTTTTCCACATTTTCCTGTCTTCTTCTGACCCCTCCAAACTGTTCCAACCTCTGCCTTTAGCCCATTTCAAAGTCAATTCCATATTTTGGGTATCCTTATAGTAGTGCCCCATTCTCTGCGATATCAATTTACTGTATTAGTCCATTCTCACACTGCTATGAAGAATAATTTACAAAGGAAGGTAATTTATAAAGGGAAGAGGCTTAATTTGGCTGGGGAGGTTTAAATTTGGTTGGGAGGCCTCAGGAAACTTACAATCATGGTGGAAGGCACCTCTTCACAGGGCAGCAGGAGAGAGAATGAGTGCCAGCAGGGGAAATGCCAGATGCTTAAAAAACCATCAGATCTCATGAGAACTCACTCATAATCACAAGAACAGCATGGGGGAACTGCCCCCATGATTCAATTACCTACCACGGGGTCTCTCCCATGACACGGAAGGACTATGGGAACTACAATTCAAGATGAGATTCATATTACTATCTAGTTTTTATTGCTAATAAAATAAAAAACTAATGAAAACAATGCTGGCCAGGCACATGGCTCACACTTGTATTCCCAGCAGTTTGGAAGGCCAAGGTGGGCAGGTCACTTGAGGTCAGGAGTTCGAGACCAGCCTGGCCACCATGGTGAAACCCCATCTCTACTAAAAATACAAAAATTAGTCGAGTGTGGTGGCATGTGCCTATAATCTCAGGTACTTGGGAGACTGAGGCATGAGAATAGCTTGAACCCAAGAGGTGGAGGTTGCGGTGGGCCAGAGATCATGCCATTGCACTCCAGCCTGTACAACAGAGTAAGACCCTGTCTCAGAAAAAAAGAAAAGAAAA